AAGAATATTAATAAAAAAAGAAATATATTATTAAAGGCTAGAAATACTAAAAAAATTAAAAGATTTAATAAGGTAGTAAAAAATATAAGAAAAAAAGAAAAAATAAGAAGAAAAATTAAAAAATAATAAAAAATATAAAAAAGAAGAAAAAAAAGGGAAAAATTAAAAAAAATATTATAAAGCTAGTTAATAAAAAGTAGCTTTATGTTATAGTTTTCCCCCTTATTACGAAGGGTACCGTTACTGCTATTTACACTAAAAGTCCTGTAATATATATTGTAATAAATTTACCTATATTTGCGAACATATTATTAAGGCTTCTTGCGAGGATCTTGATTGTAATAATGCCTACCTGGTAAAGGGGGAGCGATTAAATGCAGGTAGTAGTCCTAACCTAGTAATCTTTATTAGCTGTTTAGGCTTAGGTAATACTGTCATGAAGTCGGGGAAAGACCGTGATTGTATATTTGTAGAGCATAGTATTATTGCTTTTGAGATAGAGGGTGTGGGAGTGTGGGACAAGATACTATATATTATTATTAAGGGTATATATAACTATTTAGACAGTCACAAGAACAAAGCATGGTAAGACTACTTATGTTACACGGAAAAGGCCCAACAGATCGTGAAGCCTAATAAAGGGGCTTTACTAATACAGGACTTATTAGTTACATAGCCAGAACACGTGCCCGGGCAAGAACCCTAGGCCTAGGCGTTCCTTTCATGTATATAAGGCGGTCACCCTTCTCTTCCTTTCTTATAGCAACTCAGGACCTTTGACATCCTACGAAATTATTATTAAATTGAGCCCTATTGCTCCAAGCCTTCATAATTGAACCCTTGCCACAACTTAGATGCAGCAGCTATAGCAGCGGCGGCGGCAAGTGTACTGCTGGAACGATACACACGGGAGGATGGAGATGCGGCTGCGGGTGGATCACGATGGAAGCTATCGCAGGAGAACGATTTTATAACCACTACTAAAGCTTAAAGCCAGTTATTTATAAAGTTTGGTGCTCAGAATTCGGGCTTCTAAGCCGGGACTATTAACGGCTCCGTCAGTGGGTTAACATTTGGAGGACAGTAACCTGGTACCTGGTACTTCAGCGCTAGCCCCTACAGCTAGCGCAGCGTTGTGCTCAAGGGTCACGCTCTTTTCCTTTTTCTTTCAAAATAGTAAATAGGCGCGCTTTGTTTCCCTCTTCTTTTTTTAGAAAGGGGGTTTAGGGGCGCCAAGGGTAATTAAAAGCCAAATCCAGAGTTCCAACTCTAAGATGATGTTGAGAACTGGACTGCTCGGTTAATTCCGAGCGGTACCACATCCATAATACTCCAATATGCGCAACCAGCGTAATGCATATAAGTGATTATTGTTAACAGAAGTACAGGAGGGCCGTAAAGGGCTAATAAGTTTATAGATATAAAACAGCTATTAGGCCTAGCAAAAACATGTAACTCAACGGAAAAAGCAATTCTGGTAGGAAAGGCTTAGTATCTAGAAGCAAAAGGTGGAAGCATTTATATATATAGCTAAACACTATATAGTTGCCTTACTGGCGATTAGGACTTTTAATAAACTTATAAATAAATAATAATTTTAATGTATTCTTGCCCTTTTACATTATAATTTGTAGGGATAGATTTTGCCAGTAGCTGCCTGGAATCGGAAAAGGACCTCACAAGATCATGGATATAGAACAACTATTAGGACTCTATAACGCAACTAAAATGTAGAGAAGCAATTCTGGACAGGAACGGCTTGATCTCTAGAAATCAAGGATAGGGCGCAGGCGGATATACCTTTTGTCGTAAACATTTGGATGCTCAATCTCCTATTCTCAATCTATGCCTCGACCAGAAAAAGTACATCGACCGCCAAAAGATCGAAGCCCAGGGAACCAACTAGCGAAGTCCAAGACCACTTACAAATATCCTTGATATCGGCCCTTGAATTTGTGTTTGTGAGATTCGAACTGGCAAAAAGCAAGGCATCAGATAATCTCTCCCCGACAAAGCAACTAGTACACCAAAGTCTCCTCATCTTTTCCTCCCCCGTCCCTCCATTTCTTAAGCACCTTCTTCATATCCGCCGCGATATTCTGAGCATAGTCAGGCCCAGCGGCCCCGGCAGGCAAATCCGCTGGGTTCCCCCTCACCCAGGCAACAGGTTCCTTAGCAACACCCGCGAATTTCTTCTTAAGCTCTTCAACCTGCTGAGGCTCATAGCCGCGACCGAAGATTACCGCGCGAGGAGGCCGGCTGTACTCGTGGGTTCCGATCTCATTGGGGCTCCGAGACTGAGGTTCGCGACCTGCAAGCAGATGCGGGAGCTCAGCCTCTGCAGCCTCATATGACAGGATGAAGTGGATGACTGAGGAGCATTAGCACCATACTTTGTTTCTTTCAGGAATGTGTATCAAGAACCTTCATATTCAGGCAGCAGGTGCTGGGAGATTGATTTCCCCATCGCGGGTATTCTGCCGCAGGCAACTACTGGCGTCGGCTGAGTGAATGAAGACATGTTGCGAGAGCTGTACGCTGCGGATGAAGGTATTTCGGAGCAATGGAGATGGAGAGTTATGGAGTACGCTGAGGTCGATGATTCGATTTATATTCCTGGTTGCGGCGCGCTCGGTCTTGAGGATGATGAGTTGATGACGTTCGGACGGAGCATGAGAGCCCGTCATCTCCGACTCCAGCCAATTTCAAAGCCATAAACTCAATGTTGGGCGCAGTTCGGGCCAATCGTGGCGACCCACCGATTTTTCGATTATTCAACAGTCCCGACGGCCCGACCCCGATGAGTAAAGCAACGCCGTCACGTCCTTTTCGGTTTCTCAGGTTATCCATTACATCACAGCATGTCTTCAAGATAGAAAAGAAATACACCATGGTCGGAGCAATGACTGACGCGCACGCGCCTCGCAAGAGAGGCCGGCCACGAAATGCGACGGACGATCAGCAAGCCCCCGAGGTGGGCACATCCCGAGCAACTACAGAGCAAGTTGGAACTGACTCCAGGAATCCAGAGACGTCGAAAGCAGCTTCGCGTCGCGCAGCAAGCATATCGCAAGAGAAAAGAGACCACGATTGTCAATCTGCAATCTCGCGTACAGGAACTCGAGTCGGGCATCGAAGAGCTCAGCGAGTCGTTCCTTTCCTTCAGTAATCTTCTGTTCAAGGCTGGGATTCTTCAAAATCAGCCTCGTGTCACAGCTGCTCTGCAAAAAATTACACAGCAATGCGTGTCGCTTGCCAAAAGGGGCTGCGACGAGGCCGAACAACCTGCAGCCCCGGCGGACGTATCGCCATCGACGTCTCCCACGCTTAGCGACACACAAGACGTAATCTCAAATTACAAACCGCTTGATTCATTGCCAATAATCGGTGATGCTTTCCAGTCCTCGTGGGACCTCGCGGCTCAATGGCCTGGACTATCACAACTAACCCCCACGCAACCTTTCCAAGAACAGGCAATTCTGCCGTTCGGAATAGCCTTGTCGTCTCCGAATATCCCCTTCTCATCCATCCCTAGTCCCGCCTTGAATTTCCCGACCATAGTGTCGCCCGACAATCTCTTAAAGCAAGGGCGCTGGACACTCTCACACCTTCTAGTCCGACAATGCTGCGAGACTGGATACTATCTATTAACAAGCTTATCTGGAGACGATCCAAGGGTCAAAGCAATCTTCGGCAAACGATTGGCCATCGACGAGCGCAACTGCTTGATCTCCGGATTCGTCGCCGTCATGCACGACGAAATAGGAGACACGATCGAGTCGAGGACAAAAGTTCTCAATTCAAGGAGGAACAGCTACTCGCCTGAACGACTCGCCGTTTCCTCTCGAACGTGGCAAATTGTCAATGAATCGGGAGCTGATGAGTGGATGGATGCTAGTGGTGTGCAAAGGCTGCTACAGCAGCGAGGGATTCGTATTCAGGACCCGAGCTCGCCCCTGTCCAGTCCCCGGTTCAATTCGGCTCCGCAGCTCAACGCAGCGAGCTTCATTAAATGTGAGTAATGCCGAGATCAGTGGTTCTTTGTGTCTTCTTGTCCGTGCATTTACTGACCTTGTCGTAGATCTTTCCCTCTGCCCTATCTGTCTCGGTCGCGGACCAGCGTTCCGAAAGCGCGATGTTGAGAATGCCATTCGCCTTGCAACTCTTGATGATCCTTGGGCGTTTAACCCCGTGTGCGAAATACCATGAATTATGTATAATGACAATAATTGCCTACAATAGATATAATCTCCGCTTACGTTGCATGATGCGACGATTAGAAACAGGATCCCGCAGTGGAGTTGAGGAAATCCTTCCGGTGCATATGTTCCCCATGTCCGCGAAATTTCTTTAAAAAAGCGCCCTTTGCATCTAGGGGCCGGACTCCAAGTTCACCTATATTTTCCATTTACATTTTCTCCCTTTTTGGGTCACACAAATGCGCAGGCACATTTCTAGTCACGTCGACGCCAAATAGAGACTCTGTCATGGATCACCCCATTCTTATCCTTGCCCACAGGTAAGGAAGCAAGGAGCTCGGTGTGTCGGAGAGCCCATTTAGGACGGAGCTCTGGGTTCAGAGCACAGAAAAACTAGATGGTTGTTAGAAGGAGAGTCCAGAAAGACCAGAAGGATCTAGGGTGGGTTGGAAATGGCACATCGTCAAAATTCTAAAGACAGAGTGAAGCATCTTGCAGGTCCCTCTGTAGGACGCAGAGTACAAGTGGAGAGAAAATACTAGCAATGACGGAATGGAGCCCAACAGCGGCGGTGAGTATACATACCGTGTGATCATAAATGACCTCGAATCCATTTCGAGGTACTCCAATTTCCTTCAACCAGGTATCATCAAAGAAATCCCCCTGGACGAAAGTAACCTTCCCTCTCCCAACTTTCTCATCTCGCACGCGGTACCGGCTATGGTTCTCCTTCTCCTCCTTCTTGCAGGATTCGACAGCCGCGGCGCTGCACTCCAGGCCATAGGCATCATACCCAAAGCTCGCGAATAAGAGCACGTCGACTCCACGTCCACAGCCCGGCACCAGGGCCTTCCGCCTCTCACCGTCCTCGGTGATGGGCCCGCCAATGGTGCCAGCTCGCTGGGCGAGGGTGTCTTCTAGCGCGGGGTGGGGGAAGCCACGATCCCAGGGCAGATTATCACATTTGTCCCAGAGGGAGGCCCAGCCCGCAACATCCTTGTCGCCCTGATATTTGGCCCAGTGTGCTCGAATATCCTTGGCATCAATGTTGGTAGGAGTCGTCATGGCTGTGGGGTGGTGATGGAGTGCGGGGGAAGTTAGAGGTGCTTGCTCTGGTGTGATAATAATAAATAAGGTAAAAAATAAGAATAATATCAAATAATTAAAAACTATTAAGTATATAAAAAAATATATAATATTAAATATATAATATTCATTTTATTTATACTTTTTTATACTTAAAATTAAATATTTTTATATTATAATTAGAATTTATTACTAATTAATAACCTTAAGCTCTGGCCGCAAACTAATAGTCAGTTAGGTATGGGGTCAAACGTTAATCAGTCTTTACCTGTTTATTCATCATACCGAGAGAGATCTCATGCCCACGGGTTTACTAACAATGAAGATGCTCGTAGACGCTACTCCCCCGACTTTGACCAAGTCGGGCTGATTATATATCAGGAATGCCCTGGAAGCTATGGAAATACAGTGGATTTACTTGGTCATAAAGAGTATGTAAAATTCTTACTACGCAACCTGGTTCCCTGTTTCTTGATTCCATTTTGGAGCGATTATCCGTGCGCAATCTGCAGAATAATCAATATTGTGCCTGCTCGGACGTCTGTTTCATATTCGCCACCAGCGATGTCACATGCCAACGACGTAATGGCTTATTCCGCCAAAAGAAAAAAAAAACATATCACGTGCTATATTTTAGGAGATCGTTGTTACCATGATATCTACGTCTGAAAACATGTGCTTTCCCAATTTCTAAGCATAACAGGATTCAATCCAGGACCCACATGATACCCCATGCCTGTAGTTTTACATAGGTGGGAGCATCAGAGCGGAGATGTGTCAAGACTCTGAGTGACGGAAAGATGTATTGTCCATCACCAATACAGATTTATACTCTGGCCATCTTCCACAGTGCTAGAGAAGCTGGGCTATGAACTCCTCAAATACGATAGCATCCGTGGGGCAGCGGAAAATAGACCAGAGAACGATCTCATCCTGGGCACATACAAGCAGTATCTGATATCGTGGTCTGAGTGAAACTGCGTTACTTGCAAAGGTATTCTACCAAGTAGTGCTCAACCAGTCGCCCTAAATTCAGCCCATTCATCGCATCCAGATTCATTACCATATACCAGGTAGTACAATTAAAAGCCAAGACAAACTACGCAGGTAATAAACTCAGAAATCAGCATTCTGCTCTCTTACGCATTACCAGGCGGTCTTTTTAGACCAACCTTTGGCAATAAGGGCTCGTCTAGTACTAGAGATCGTGACAATAGTTTGGAACGTATCCCAGAGAAAGACAGTCATCTCATCGAGGTATAGCCCAGGCTTTTCTAGGAGGTAGTAACAAGGGCATCTATCATCAAAGGTGTTACTGTTCGTTTTCGGCGTATTTATGTTTAGGGGGCATAAATAGTTCTAAATTGCTGAAGTTTCTGCGAACATTAATAATAGTTAGCTTACTATATTTGGTTTCTTCGGCCAAAAAGAAAGCGTAAAACTCCAGATCAGTTTAATAATTCAGTCGCTATACTAGAGGGCTTCGCTTCAGGTATGGTATTAAAGCTGCACAAAGGAAAATTCAAATCCTAGATCATAAAATTACTTGCGCCAAGCTTAGACTGTTGTAATAGTTTTATTGGGTAATTAAGACCATATTGCATTCTTAAAGCTTCCTAGCTGTGGTGACTGGTAATCTATTAGGGCGAGAGCTGCCTGGGTTCGCCTCCTATCCTTCCAGCACATCAGCAGAAAGATATTTAGTATTCTAGTCTGAGAGGCTTTTGGTTGGTGATTTCTCCTGGTAATCCATGTTATAATCCGCGCGCTTCGCTGCTCTCTCCTCTTGCTCAGCATACCTTGCTTTATTACCTGCCCCAATATCTTCAGGAGGTATTTCCGACCATTTCCGCTTTTTAACGTCCCTAGCAAGGGATTCCTTGCCCAGTGCTCGCTCTACTTTACTATACGCCGCATCCAGATATTAACAGAGTTGTATCCCGGCCGTAATGGGTCAAAGTAGAATCTAACTTTTGTCTTGTCCGGTAACGCTTGTTTTGAAGAATCTATTATCTGTTCTAACACGTACGCGCTCAACTTCGCATTCCGTCTTTACTCTTCTTCGAGTAGGGTACCTTGGCAATCTTTCACTCTTCAACAAACACTATTCGTCTACGCAGACGCCCTCTTCGTCGCCTTGGTTCGCAACTTTATCATCAAGAACACCAGGGAGTAGAACACTCTAGCCCATAATACAACCAGCCCCGCATTCCTCCAGCCGTAGTACTCTTCATTCAGGTTGAGTGTCTTCAAGTAGTCTTGTCCAGTAGTGTATCGGCACACCTCGCAGTTCTCCGTAGCGCCTGGGTTCAGAAGGTTCGTGCCACGTCCCATGCCTTGTTAATAGGTGGAGAGATAGTCGCCACATGTCTCGTTCGCAGGAGGATTGAAGACCGCAAGCTCGCCCCGTTCGCAAGTGATATCGACGGAGAAGGTGGTGAAGGTCAGGAAGGCGCCGAAGAGGTAGTTGAAGGGATCGAGGTAGTAGATCCTAAAAGGTGATGTTAGCATTGATCTCGTAGGTGTTAGTAGTCGTACAAGGCTTACCAGTATCTCCAGAACGCCGTGATCTGGGAGTAAGGAGCGAAGACACCGCAGAGTAATACAAGGGTAGTGATGACCAGCGGGTTAACGAGAGATGCAAAGGTTGCGTTGGGAGCGTACGCGGCGATCAATTGTCCAATACCGGTGTACAACATCTCGTAAAACATCTAGACGGTTTGTTAGTTTAGAGCAAGGAGTCAACAAAAGAAGAGAGAACTTACTGCGACAAAGAATGTGCTGCCTGCCCACTTGGTATCATTTCGCAATCCAGCAGTCCAGTACCAACACACAAAGTATATCACACCGCAGACAACCAGGTAGGGCAGCTCAGAAACAATCAAGCCAGTAACGAATAGCACCTAGTAGTAGGTCTTAATCTTCTTCTCGCGCGTCTCATACACGTTGCGACGATTAATAAAGATAGGCTGAAGCTGGGAGATGAGACCGGGGGCGACAAACAGGAAACTGAAGACCGTAAAGAGGCGTTACTAGAGGTCGCTAACGCTGTTACTAATCGACCAGAACGAAAATCCGTTGTAAAGAGACAGGAGTATATGTAAGATAAGCTTATTATTAATGTACTTAGTGTTGCGGAATAAGGAGATGTTTATGCGGTGCGTAATAAGCTTCACCTGCTCCTACATAGGCGCTGCAAATTAATAGCTATCGTTAATAATTCCAGGCGGTTTAGCGGCAGCATTAACGATAAGAGTGTTAAGCTCTTAAGTGATCTTCTTGTGTTCAGGCAAGTTAAGCCAGACTTGGTTCCAGTCCTTGCCCTTAGAAAGACTTCCTAATATAACTTTAATTATATGCTTAGCAGGGTTAGCCTCTTAGGGGTATAGTATGCCATGATCAGCGAAGTATGTCTTAATGGTCCTTATATAATAGCCAATATTACTAAAGTATACAGTCTTGCCACTCTTTGCCAGTAAGAGAAGGGTATTAAATTAGGTAAAGAGGTCGGTCGATAGCTGATAAATCGTAACGAGGACAGCTTGTCCGACTTCCGCGAGTTTGCGCAAGATGCGTACCGTGTTGTTTGCAGCTTGGCCATCGAGACCAGAGGTAGGTTCGTCAAGGAAGATCAAAATACTAGGCTTAACTACGAGCTCAACACCAATTGTGAGACCTGATAAGTTGTTAGTGTCTGTCTCGACTGTGTTCAATGGATTCAGACTTACGCTTGCGCTGTTCGACAGAAAGACCGGCACCAGGGCGACCAATAAGGGTGTGCTCGAGATCTTCCAACTGTAGAAGCTTGACGATCGTGTCCACATAGCGGAGCTTCTCCTCGCGGGGAATTTCACAATTCTGATGAAGAAGAGCAGAGAATTCCAAAGCCTCGCGTACCGTGGACAATAACTCGTGGACATCCATCTGTTCGACGTAGCCAGCAGATCGTTAGAAGGACACAGGGAGCGGGCGACCATCGACTAGAACGGAGCCATGAATGGTACTATCAGTCTTGCGTTGAGCTAGAACGTCGAGCAGTGTAGTCTTTCCGGCCTGAGTGAAAATATTGGCATATATCCATCTGTCAATCGCATTGTTACTGCACTTACACCCAAAGGTCCCATAAGAGCGCCGAGTGTACCGGGCTTAATAAATCCTTAAACGTTATCGAGAAGAAGACGATCGCCATGCGGCGTCTTAACGGTGTAAGTCAGATTCTTCCAGATAAAGACCAATGTATTATTAACGAGCTGATTGTCGATAGTTACGTCAGACTTCTCGGAATCGGAGCCGGAGTTCTCAGATAGCTTCTCAACAGCCTGGGATTCCTCATCCACAACCACAGCCTTAGGTACCTTCTTCTGCTTCTCACGGGGGATAAGGAGGCCGCGACCACCTTCGCCCATCTGCTTCCACCTGGAAGTGAAGAAGACGGTCATTGCCACGAAGAAAACGCACCAGGCGCAGAGAATGCCAAAGTTACGCCAAAGGTTACTGCTGCTAAAGGACATGAAAGCCAGGTATTAGTCACCAGTAACGCTGGTTGCTCCAGGAGGCGTACCACAGACGCCGGTACATGCTTGTCCGCCTCCTGTTTCGGGGCTGTATCCTTTGCCATTTAGAACCAGGAATAGGCCCACACAAGGAATCACCTGGCCGTGGAACTCATTCGTGAGCAATGCTTCGAACGCGTAGGCCATGGGGTCGATTCAGAAGAACCAAACAAACCAAGGGTGCATATCGGGCTTGGGAATCATGTATCCTGTATATGTAAAGGCAGCAATAATGGTAAATCCAGAAGCTTTAGTTGCTGCGTCGAAATTCGGAAAAGTGGCACTAATAAGCCTAAACAGCTGTGTTATAGCCAGGGCCGAGATCAAGTTGATGAGCCAGAAGATAAAGAAAGCCTAGGCGGTGTACTAGAATCCAGTCATGAAGTACAGCACAATTCCAAAGTGCGAGATTTGGAAGAGCATCATCGGGATGTCGGTAATAACCTGGGCGAAGACAAAGGCAGATAGATGGTGAAGAGCGGAGTCTCGGTGTTTGGCTAAGACGGGTCGGCCAACGAACGAATCCGTAACCTCGGCGAGAGCGATAAAGGTAGGATATAGTAGAGAGAAGAAGAGTGAGCCTCCCTTAATGAACAAGCCCCCCGTGTTGTCCGGAGCATTATAGAACAGTAAGCCACCAATCAGCGCCTAAACGATAGTTATGGCTTGCTTAATAAACAGAGTTTGCTTGTCGCCCCATGTTGTAGTTCTTCGGATTCGCTAAATTTGCCAGGCTTTAACAGCAGAAGAACTTGGATGAAAAAGAGTGCTGGAGATCAGACGACTGTAGTTGCCGGTGGGAGAGTAGCAACATCACGCACAAGATATAAGAACAATAAAGTAATGAGATATATGACCATAACTTAGCTTCTGATTAATAATCCGACTCAAGTCCCGGAGCTCAAAGAAGCCCTCTGTCTCATCCCTTATTAATGTGCTGAACGAAAAGCGTGGGACATCTTTTCGACGGATGGGTGATTAGTAAACGTCTCGTGTATTAAGGTTTTCCTAACAGTCAGTTCAACCGTCTTTGTTGAATCATCAAGCATATCCGCTCGGAGTGATTACTATCTCCTTGACTGCCAAACTGTAACCACTTGTATGGCAAGTGCACGAGGACCCACAAAGACAAACCAGTACCGAATGCACTCTACCGTGACATTTTCTCCAGTCCACCCAAAGTCCATAGCCGTACAATTTTGCCTTGATTGGAACACTGAACGTGAACATGGCAGGTGGAAAACGAAAGGCCACTAGTATAGCTGGTGGGTATCGACCAGCTAAACAACGACATGGACGAAAGGGACATCTGGAACCACTATATCAGCCGTTACAGCGCCTAACACGCCCGTTCTAATACCAGACCCCTACCGTCCCCGCTGAAACCCCCTCCAAAGCCAAACCTACGCGATTTGTTGACCGAACCGGCCACTTCCACCTTTACGCCAGTACCTTCGCAAGGCTTTCCCCGTCGTGAGTACATCTATTGGGAGCTGTATGCATGGACGCTGTAGCCCACATCGGCCCCGCCTGTGATACACACACATCTAGGCTGTCACACCCTTATATGTAAGTTTTGTGTAATTGAGTGGAAATCGTGATATTTACTTATAAATTAGGCAATTGATAGGGACGCCG